TTTCCAGACCTATTTTAGAGGCCCGTCCGATAAGCACAAAGGTAATCAAATACATACATACAGTAAGACATAACCAAACATCAGTCATAGCTCCCATCGTGTTATATTTGTTTGCTATTCTGCAGTTGTTGTTATTACTACTTTGTTTTCTGTTAAAGGTGGACTGCTCTTCCGCCGAGTACTCTCTATCAGCAAATCTTGTAGATGATAGTTTGTTAGCGTGTCATTTCTTTGGGTTATTAGCACGTGCACGAGCCGCAGTCTGCGTGCCGGAGTTGTGGGTGCAGCGCGAGAGAGAATAGCTCGCACAGCCTGCGTAGTTGTGGTGTGCTTCTTCCGCCGTGCGTAGTGGGGATGGACTCCTCTGGCGTAGTCGTGGCAAGACCAGCTAGTCGTGTGCTAGTGGTTTTGGAGGTGTTTGGTTCTTTAGTCGATCCTAAAATTTATGTCACATCGAATATTTAGATACTGATAAGGAGCATTAAATATAGATTAATTATAAAACCAATTACATAGATGGAGGCTAATTTTCAAGACGAATTTTTAAGCCTAATTAATCTGTCATTATCACATGTTTACTGTAGCACCACGTTGTCAAATCATGGACTAATTAGGCTTAAAAGATTCGTCTCGCAAATTAGTTGCAAGTTGTGCAATTAGTTTCGTAATTAGTCTATATTTAATACTCCATGCATGTGTCCAAACATTCGATGCGATAGGAATTTTAGAAGGTGGCTAAAGAACCAGACAGCCCCTCCATCTGCTGTAATCGGCGAATAAGAGGGGCAATAGAAAGAGAAAACGCTGCAGTCTTTCAGCAGACCCAAATCTTCGGTGTCCACAGTTGAGTCGTTTCCGTTCGTCACCAGTGTGAATTCCTGGTGAAGTTTGACAATTGTTATTAGAGTACTAGCAAGAGAAGGCCCCATTTTGCAAAGGCAACACAGCATCCAACGGCAGAGACAACTCACCATCGCCATGCCCATCACGCTTGCCCTCTGGTAGACATAGGCACTCCCCATCACGCCGCTCGTGCACTCGAGATGCCCGGTGTCCGCACGAGAAGTGGTTGTCCAGCGCGTAATCAGGGAGGCTTGAGAGGCCTCAAGACCCTCTGCACGGGCGACAAACAAGTGTGGAAGGCGACCGCACACAGCAACCTCCGCGCTGAGTCTGAGACAATCATGTTTTGAGACAGTGAAGCAGTGGACGACTTCACCATCTGACTCCCCAGCATCGTGCACCAGCAGCTGGCGACGCTCTGTGATCCAGAGGCCAGAGCCCGACCAAAAGGTTGTGGCCAAGTACCTCAGTGTCACTCAACCGAAGATAAACAACTTCGCTCCAACTACAATGCTAGACAACATATAACTCTCCTAAATTTTAAAAGCAGACAAAATACCCCCTTAACCATTTCAAGTGGTTTCTTTGGTGGTTTTGCAAACGTGGCGGTAGTGGGGCCCACCTGTCATTGTCTCTCTCTTTCTTTTATATATAAAAAAGCATAATCTTTTTCATATGAAGTCGTAAAAAAGCATAAAAATATGATTTGATATGATTAATATATCTTAGAAAAATCATCATTTTTTTTGCGGAATTAAATGAAAATAAATTTTATATGAAAATTATAAATCTTGACGAGATCTACAACTTTCTAGTTTTGAGTTTTTTCATTTGAAGTCGTTATGATGCTCAAAAAAAATTAATAACATATTTAGACTTAAGGGTATTTTCGTCTTTTCACACTTGCAGTTTGACGGCGTTAGAGCCCAAACTGACGGAAGTGGCATGGAGGACACGAAAAAGTTGGAGTAGTGACGCTGAAGACCGCTGAATTTTTCCAGGGGATTACGATCTTTTATAATGGCACATAGGGAAAAATCTCCTCGACCAAAGTTGTAGTTTTCTCAATAAGATCTACAACTAACTTCATAGTAGACATTTTTTTATTTGAGATCGTTTAAAGCTCAAAATATTTGTTTTGAGTTCTGGAGTTTTAAAATTCATTTTTTTAAAATTTTCTAACAACCTCTCTGATGTTGACGTGGTCTACCCCAAAGTTGTAGCCCTGAAAATGATCCATAACTTCGTAGTTAACCACTTTTTTATATGAGATCGCTTAGAGGTCCGAACTTTTGTTTTTTTGAAAAAAATTTGGAGAAATTGAATTTCAAAACAAAGAATTTGAAATTAACATTTTTCTGAAAAATTGAAAGTTTTTTTTTTTTTTTGCCTTTGTAGCTTGAGATTTTCTGCTAGCTCGATCTCGTACATTTCAGTGGCCCCGGCGGCCTTGGTTGTTGTCCAATGTCCAGGGGACGGAGACCGCCCAAGCCCAAGTCAAGAAAAGATGGCAGAGCATCTGCCCGCCCGGCAGGTCGTGGGGTATCTGTTAAAAAAAAAGCTTTAGAGCAACTCAAGAGCCTATCTATCTCCTTGTTGATAGAAATATAGGTTTTAGTGAAAAATATCCTTCAATATAGTTTCTTTAATTACATCTTCAAATATGTCATTCTCTATTCCGTATTTCTCATTAGCGAAAGACAGAAATCGGAATTGGCTCTTTAGAGAGTGCACAATGTGTAGAAAAAAAATCTGTTGGTGGCTTAAAAGAGAGGGTTTTTATTTAAATGCCTCTCCTAATAATGCTTTAGTGACTGACTTTAAGATAGAGTGGAGTTTTTAGAACTCCAAAAACCAATAATTTAAGTAATACTAGTAGAAATGCACGTGCGGCACGCACGTGTCTATTAAAAATTATCATACTCAACAAAGATAAAAAGATCATTTATAAAGAAACAAAACATATTGTTCTTAAATAAAAAAATATGAAGTAACAAGTAATTATACACGGTATTAAGAAAATAGCATCAAATTAATATGATAGAACTGGTTTCCTTGCCTAAATTATTACAAAAATTTCCTGATCCGAAGGCATAATTTTGAACAAGAAATGAAAATCATTTTTGGTGGTTCAGCATAGGTAAAGGTTATTGAACTGCACAGTAACTTTGAAGTTAAGTTCTAACGAGGAGATCTTGCACGCCCATACATATAGCTTGAGGCCTCTAAATTTTGTTTTGTTGCCTGCATTTGGCAACCGCAATGATAGCAGCATTTGGGAAGTGCACAGTATATGAAAATAGAGTGTCGATCACCATTGGCTCCAATTTGGGAAGTTATTCATCCCGATGTACAATTCCTGTAAGCAAGCGAGGAAAGATCAACTTTTTATGCTACCAAAAGAAAAGAAAAGAAAGCGCAGGGAGAAGTAGACAATAATATGGACAAAAAAAAAATCTCACCTCGATTAAGCATGAACCCAACACATGTTGTCGAGGACCATTAAACTATAGAGAATTTTAGAAAGATCTTAAATTCTCCATAATGTTAGAGCATTCAAATTCTCTAATACTAGATTTTAAGACATAACAGTTATTTGAAGCATTTCCTAAAAATGAATAACTAAATAAATATCAGTTTATGTGGGTTACCTAAAGCGACTCAATTGCACGATAGCAAAAGCTTCATCTCTTTCTGTGATAGTTAAGGCATCATTCACTACACAAGCGCGCACACGTTTATAAAAAAAAAACATATTATACGCAATGTGAGAATACTAAAATAATGTTTCTAGTAAATATGATGTGCGGCGCGCACATGTTTTTATTGAAAAAAAAGATCATTTGTAATGTAGGGATGTATACCAATAAATATTTTTAAAAGACAATTACAGATTAAAATAATGATATTAACAAATCATCCAACACTCAACCTGCATGAAAAAAAAGAAATAAAGAATTCAATTTATAGAAGATCTGTCTGGTCTCTAATGTGCTCACGAAACATATCTATTACTCAAGTGAGCTGTAGTGAGATGACAAACTCTATTTTGGTGGGTTTTCAACCATGCACAATGATAGCAGTTCCTTCGTACAAAAATAAATTCAATATATATAAATGGAGAAAAATTATAATAAATAATTGACTATATACACTTATCATAACACCAGTGGGAGTGGGATGGTGCTATCTGCTATACGTACCACCGACCTCAAAAACAAACATAAATAAATTGAATCTAATGTGTTGACGTTCTGTGTGCTGTGATGACATGGTTTTAGCCCTTCCTTCCAATAAGACCCGTGATTTTCAATATTTCTTTGTGCTTCTAGGCTATTTTATATAAAGAGTACAATGCAATGATAACGGGGAACACGAGACGTTAGACGTAACGATGAAACTGAGGTTGGAGGTGCTACTTTACTGCACCAAATTGGTTGGTGGCCTACCGGTAAATTGATATGAAGCGTTAGATTCAAAGGCCCCGCTCGACCGGTGTAAAAAAAAACTATTCATGTTGAAAAATACTGTTCATACTGATTTGTTGTGAAAAAAAAACACTGTTCCGAATGAAAAAAGAAGCCAAACAAGCCGGAATCTGGGTCAGCCGAACAAGCCCAAAGACTCGAGTAAATCTAAGGGACAAAAATTAAGGTGAATAGAAATATCAGAGTGACAGACTATTTTCAATTCCTTCGCTTTTTTTTTTATAGTACAGAGATTATAGTTTGTCGTATCAAATGCTCTACGCTCAAAATATTTCATAAAATATATAGATTTTTTTTCTTCTGAAACTCAAAAAATATTTTGCATCCAATAAACGCTCCACGAACAAGAGGACAGACTTGAGGGCCCAGAAGCCTGTGACATTGTCCCCTGAATCTTATCCCCTCCTCCGACCATCTCTCTTCACCTCCTCTTCCTCGGCGAGCTCCACCTCCACGGAGACCAGAGCGGCCGGCGCTGCGGCGGAGGTCCAAGCCGAGCTCCGATTACTCCCCCTCCCAACCGCGCAACCCTGTCCATGGCGCGCGCGGCGCGGCCTCGACGAGCCCCTGTGCATCCCCGCCGCCGGCGCGCGGCCTGCTAAGCCACCATTCCTCTCCGCGCGCCCTCCTCCCCCCTCTCCCTCTCCTAAACCCACGCCACTCCTCCTCATGGGCCCGCCGGCCTACACGGCCTCCCCCTGCACGGGTTCCGCTCTCTTCTCCAACTCCCGAGCGCCGCCACCGCCGCCGCCGCGTCTACTTCTCCAGCGTGGCCCGGGGGCGCCGTTGGCCGCTGGGAGGTACGGCGGCCGCGTAGCCCCGTCGCAGGAGAGGCGCCGCTCGGCCCCGGCTCAGGAGAAGCGCCGCCCCTCGGAGTCGTCGTCCCGGACCCAGCTCCCGGAGCGGAAGCGGCACTGGAAGGCGGGGGAGTTCCCGGGGACCGCTACTGCCGATAGGGGTGGCGGCGGACGGCTGCCCGCTCAAGGGAAGCGGCATTCGAAGGCCGGGGAGTTTCCCGGGACGGACGGCGGCGGCCGCCCAGCCCCCGCCCCGTCGCAGGGGAAGCGGCATTGGAAGGCCGGCGAGTTCCCGGGCACCGCCGCCGGCCCCGGTTCGGGGACGCCGAGGACTCCCCTCAAGAACGTCAAGAAGCGGCTGGACGCCCGCGCGGACGCCAAGGCGTGGGCGTGCACCGTCACCGAGGCCCTCGCCGACCGCGTCAGCTCTAAGAACTGGCAAGAGGCGCTTCAGGTAAAACACCACCACCGGTTACATCTGATTTCCCTTGGTTGCATTGCTCCATCGTCTCCAAAAATTCAAAATTCCTCTTAATTGCTAGTTAGATTCAATTGTTTGTTTGAGGAAAGGAAATAGTGGCAAATGTTGTTACTAACACTAATTGCGAATTGGTGCTGGCAGGTCTTTGAGATGCTCAAGGAGCAGCCGTTCTACCATCCCAAAGAGGGCACCTACATGAAGCTCATAGTGCTGCTTGGCCGATCAGGGCAGCCTGCCCGGGCGCACCAACTCTTTGATGAGATGTTGCAACAAGGATGCCAGCCCACCCTGAGCTTTACACCGCCTTTAGTTGGGGCCTACTGCCGCAGCGGCCTACTGGACGAGGCGCCCAGCTCCTCAATGACATGAAGGGCTCACCGTTGTGCCAGCCTGATGTCTACACCTACAGCACCATCATCAAGGCCTGTGTTGATGCCACAAGATTCGACCTCATCGATGTTATGTACAAAGACATGGCTGAGCGCTCTATAGCGCCCAACACAGTCACGCAGAATATTGTCCTCAGTGGCTACGGAAAGGCTGGACGGCTGGATGACATGGAGAGAGTGCTCTCTGACATGCTCGACAGCACAGCCTGCAAACCGGATGTCTGGACCATGAACATTATCTTAAGCTTGTTTGGAAACGGGGGCCAGGTTGAATTGATGGAAAAATGGTACGAGAAATTCAGAAGCTATGGGATCGAACCAGAGACTCGCACACTGAACATCCTGATTGGTGCCTATGGGAAGAAGCGGATGTACGATAAGATGTCTGCAGTCATGGAGTACATGCGCAAGCTTGCCTTCCCATGGACAACTGCGACATACAACAATGTGATTGAGGCCTTTGCTGAGGCGGGTGATGCCAAAAACATGGAGCATACATTTAACCAGATGCGCTCTGAGGGTATGAAGCCGGATACAAAGACCTTCTGTTGTCTAATAACTGGGTTTAGCAAAGCAGGCCAATTCCATAAGGTGGTGGGCATGGTTAAGCTTGCTGAGAGGCTGGATGTGCCTGCAAATACATCTTTCCACAATGCTATTCTTGGTGCATGTGCAAGAGCAGATGATCTTATGGAGATGGAGAGGGTCTTCAGGCACATGAAGCATACACAGTGTGAGCCTGATGCTGTGACATACTCTATCTTGGTGGAAGCTTATTGGAAGGAAGGAATGACAGACAAGATTTATGCTTTGCATCAGGAGAACCCAACTTTGGTTCCAACTGATTTTGTCATGGTTTAACTGACCCACTGACTGAATAATGGACCAGAAATGTTTAGGCTTGGTTGCAATGGTTGAAAATTTTCCTGCTATCAATGTTTGGAATTGATGATGCTACCAAGCAGAGTGGCAGTTATTCTCCAACTCCATTTTTTGTCTGTTGGCCTGCAAAGTTAATATAGACGTTTTCTCGAACTGAAGGGGGTTTCAGTGAGATGTGCCCAGCACCACAGTATGCATAACTCAGATACACGGAGTTATAAGGCTCTGAAAATGCTTCAGTAAGATTCTGGCCAGTTTGAGTTACCAAGTATTTGGGAACAGAGGGAGTTTTCTGAACTGGTGAATGGGAACAAAATTGTATGTTTCTCCACTATGGCACTGTTAATCCTTTTCTTGAAAACACGGGACTTATGCATAATTTGGGAGAATAAAAGAATTCCTAATCTCTGATGGTAAAATTTTCTGTGGCCCTACTCTGTACCAGCCTATGCCCAATATCTTTCAGATTAATATTTGGTACCTTTTCACAATCTTTTCACAAATTTATAGCTGTGACTTCTAGTACATTGCACATGTAGTGAAACTTGGAATATTTGTGTACAGAAGGGTAGGCATTAAGTTTTCTCTAGCACCCTTAATGTGTAGTTTTGCGATTATGTGCATTTCACCAAACAATATGTTAAGGCAGTGGATTAAATTTGATTTGTCAGATTCTACACACTACAGGAGCTATGTTGCATTTTTTTTAATGAGGTATATAGTAGAGTATTAGTGTATTACCAATCCTGTAGCCAAGTGATAGATCTTATGATTGAGATCATGGGTTAAGGCTCCTCTTCTCTTATGAATTAGCATGATGGCTTATCTGAACTGCTAGAGCTATTGGTGCTTGTTTTTGCATATTCACTTATAGTACTAAACATTGTAGATCAAAATGATTTTTAATACCTCTTGAAAATTATCTACTGTACTTCCTTTCCGGTGCTTAAATCCACATGATACAACAGGAACTTGTAATGCAACTCTTAGATCAATGGTGCAGAATTTTCTCTCAGCAGTTGAGCTTTTCGATATACCGCCATCTTTTGTCCATATAGAGTGCTTTCGAGGATCCTACTAGTATCATCTTTCCTGATGCAAAGATAAGAATATATATTTTTTAACAAACCAGAAGGACAAAAAGTTCAGAAAAGAATCAAGCATCCACAGTTAAATCAATTCATTTTACTTATCTAATATATGTCCATTGGATTTGGGATTATATAGAATGAGTACATCACTTTTAGAACTATATTCCTTTTTTTTGAGGAAAAGATTATGCTGATTTTATCTGCTCCAAAAGTCGCTTGAAATCAAATGGAATGCACATAGTTTCAAATTATCCTGAAGTATTATTAACTTATGGGGGTGAGTGGAGGGGAGGCACAGACCATGAATTGAGGCACATCTTTTTGTAGGAAAAATAATCATCGAAATCAGTGTTGAAATGGAGGGATGAACATAGCACCCAAAGGTCTTCTGGAAGATTTAGTTTCAGAAAATACACAGAGCGAGAACATTCCTCAGAATTTCTGAAAATGGATTTTTAGGATTATTAAGTGATTTTCAGGAACTATGAAATGTCCACAGACGATAGTGGATGACAAATGGGTCCTGGGACAATGTCAAGGTCACTGGGCTTGTGGAACAAAAAGGCAAAGTCAGCCTTTTATCTATGGGTCAAGACCATATCCTCCTTAGGCTGGTCTTCGTGCTTGGGCCAAACCTATTACAGCCTAGCCAGGTTTGGCAGAAAACATGACCCATGAGCAGTGGTGGATGTAGTATAGGTGCATGGGGGTACAGCTGTACCCCCAAAAATTCTGTAGAAACACTAAGTATATGTACCTATAATATTTAATTATGTAAAACATTATCAAATAACAAACTCTTGAGCTCAAGTACTCATCTAAGATGATGGACTATAGCTCTTTCTTCTAAAGCCTGGGAATCCAAAGTTAACCTGTGCACAAACACAAGTATAAGATAAATACGATCGAGTTTTGCTAAAAAAAAAGATAAATATGAAAACGAATTAATTGGACAGCTTTTTTTGTGGAAAAGTTGACTCTTTTTCCTTCCAAACCATCATTATAGTTTTAATTCGTGAAGTTTGAGTCTTGATTTTGTTTGATAATCAGACAATTTTTGGAAAGAAAAGTCATCTGTAGGTTACTCGACAAATAAATAATTTTACTTTTGTAGAACATTGTGGTATTAACAGAAACAATGATCTAGCATTTTTAATATATTACTCTATATACAAAGCACAAAAGATTTCTTGGTCTACCCTGAATCAGCAAGAAACTAATATGCTTATGAAGACCTTGGCAATGACTATATCTGTATACTCCTAGATGAATGTTGGTTAATTGTATCCTTAGAGCATCGATCTCCAATAGTCTTTGTAAAATTTACTCTCTAAATCATCATTTGGAGAGTTATTTTATGAAAAACGCTTTCTATATCTCTGTACACTCCGCCAGCTTTTCTATAAATCATATGAAAGATATACAGTCTTTTGGAGTTGCTCTTAGTGAACTGCATCACTTAGATCGTTTATATCATTAGCGAATTGTGTCACTTATGTCCGTACCCCCATGACTGAAATCCTGGATCCGCCACTGCCCATGAGCCTAGCAGTACATTTAGCATTTTGACTCTGGTATGCCCCTTCTAAACATTCTACCTTACAGTTTTCCCATGCCATTATAACTTGGGATACCCTATGAGAAAATGCACTCATTTTTCCTACTACTATAGTAGCCTAACAATCACAACCACTATGGAAGTGCTTGCGCCCGTATTTTATGGATCGCTTCCTCTTGTTTCCTGTAGAAGATTTCAGCTCCTGAATCTCACAAGCATAGACATAGCTATAATAGGGTGGTATGAGAGACTTCCATGCCAGGGCTTCGAATCTCCCAGGAAGCTTTGCGTCTCCATAAGTCACATCGTGCAAAGTGATCTTGGGAACCTGATGATGATCCTGCTGTGAAGAGTGCCGATGATACTGATGGTAAGCAACCACCTGCTCAAACCTCCTGTTTATCCTCCCAAAATATACTGGTTTGTTCTGGTTCAGCAGGTCGTATGGGTGCTCACCAAACTTGGACACATGTCTCTGGAACTGCGACCTCATGAACGCCGCAAACTTCCTCCAGAATTGGCGCGCTGAAGCTGTCCCTCAGCATGCGGGCGGATACGTTGGCGATGATCATGCTCCCGTTCAACGTCGCTGCAATCTCCATTGCCAGGTTGGTGAGCTGCCTTGGGTGTGACATGGGGTTCGCGCCCCGAACGCGAAAGCGTCCTGAAGAAATACCAGTAGGCCTCATGCGACAGGGGCTTCAGATTTAGAGCCTGTGTTGTTCCAAGCTTTGCGATCTTGTCAGAACGGCTTGTAAGTATGATCTTGCTACCTCTGGGCATCCAATGTTTAGATGCAGAGTACAGCCTGTTCCACACATCTTCGTCCAGATCCCCACCTACCTCCACAACAAGAAGCAATCTCCTTGTCGCCCCATCTTTGTTGGAAGAATAATGTGACGTGCCGCAATCTTGCTGTCTCATTGCACATAATCCTTCTCTGAAAGCTGCTAGCCCATCATATTGAAAGTCATGGTCGCTCAAGAACACGGTTTCTGAGAAATGACCACGGACTCTTTCATCCTTGCAGACATGGGCCACTAGCGTGCTCTTGCCGACCCTGAAGGGACCGACGATCGGCAGCACCGCTGGTTCTTCGGCACCAGAATGTTGTGCATACAACAGGAAGTCGATGACAAGCTGTGCTTCAATCTGGCGACCAAACATGCAGTTGCCCAGCAGGAGATACATGCTGTAAGGCTGGCGGTCAATGCCACGACTGTTGTCGTTCGCCAAGAACAGGACTAGCTCATGGGCATCGGCGATCATGGCGCTCAGGCGGTCAAGCACCTCCTGCATTTCTTCTGAAATCTCTCTACTGGTTGCTGCACTGGGAAAACAGAGATCTTTTACAGAATCTACTTTGGAGAAAACAGAAGAAGCCACAGGCCGGCGACGATTCACGATGATCCGTCCATTGCTGGATGACGCCTCCTCTTGGTGAAGACAACTCGTTTGGCATCTGAAGGTGTCGAGGGCATAGTGGCCTCGGTGCATGGCGTCAACCAGCGCGTCCAGCTGCTGGAGCATGGCTCGGTTCGTGATTTGCCGCCGCCCCATGGCCTCGCGTCGACGATGACCTGCGCCCGAGCAGGACGCTCTGGAGGCGATCCTCCGGTGCTGGAGGCTTGGGGACGCCTGCTGATGAAGAAATCTATGGATCTTGTGGCTAGGTCGCCTAGTATCGCAGAAAGGAAAATCTCCAGTAGCGACACCATCCTTCTGAATTTTCTGTGTGTGCTATATGTGTTTCTAGTAAGAACTCCAAAAGGAGGACTAAAGGAGAGTATGAACCTATGAATATATGATAGCAACTTGCTGAACTCAAGGAGAGCATGCACATGCATATAGGAACAGCTAATAAGCTGACACTGGCGGTAGTGTGTCTTTCACGTTGTATGACCTTTGCATTGTCTGGGTGTTGGACGAGTCTTTCACGTTGTACTTTTACTGTTTGTGTTATGCTCCATTGATTTCCATGTGATCTCTTCTTTCTCACCCGACATGGGAACGTGTGCATTACTCCCTAATTAAATACTGGAAAAAATATGTAATGGTTTTCTAGATGGCGACGACGACACTGCGTCAGCATCGGGTGATGTATGCTGCAAGTCCAGTGTACCGGCGGGGCTTGCTTTGCTTCCATGGCGAGGTGCGTGCATGCAACACTTCTGAATTCCGAACAGGGTTTGGGAGAATGAAAGAATTCCTAATCTGATGGTAAAATTTTCTGTGGCCCACTCTGTACCAGATTACCTTAACATATGCCCAAAATCTTTCAGATTAATAGTTGGAACTTTTTTCACATCTTTTCATAAATATATAGACATGACTTCTAGGTCGTTGCACATGTACTCAAACTTATTATATGTGTGTACAAAAGGGTAGGAATTAAGTTTTCTCTAACACCCTTAATGTGTGTTAGTTAAGCTTTGCACTGTATATATTTTTTTAACAAACCAGAAGGACAAAAAGTTCAGAAAAGAATCAAGCATCCACAGTTAAATCAATCCATTGGATTTGGGATTATATAGAAATGAGTATATCACTTTTAGAACTATATTCCTTTTTCTAAGGAAAAGATCTTGCTGATTTTATCTGCTCCAAAAATCGCATGAAATCAAATGGAATTCACATAGTTTCAAATTACCCTGAAGTATTATTACCATGAATTGAGGCACATCTTTTTGTAGGAAAAATAATCATCGGAATCAGTGTTGAAATGGAGGGATGACCATAGCACCCAAAGGTCATCCGGAAGATTTAGTTTCAGAAAATACACAGATTTAGTTTCAGAAAATACACAGAGCGAGAACATTCCTCAGAATTTCTGAAAATGGATTTTTAGGATTATTAAGTGATTTTCAGGAACTATGAAATGTCCACAGACGACAGTGGATGACAAGTGGGTCCTAGGACAATGTCAAGGTCACTGGGTTTGTGGAACAAAAAGGCAAAGTCAGCCTTTTATCTATGGGTCAAGACCATATCCTCCTTAGGCTGGTCTTCGTGCTTGGGCCAAACCTATCACAGCCTAGCCAGGTTTGGCAGAAAACATGACCCGTGAGCCCCTGTTTTAGAAATGCCCAGTAGGTTGAACTGAAAATGGAAAGTAAACACAACTTTTTGAAGAAAAAAAAAACACAGATTCTGAGGATGCTCTCTGGAGTCTGGACTAAAACCACTGGCAAACACTTCATCATCGGATGATGTGAACTGCTATGTGCTATCTGCTAGTGATTACTTACAATTTACATATGATGACACAGGTAGCAGTACATTTAGCATTTTGACTCTGGTATGCCCCTTCTAAACATTCTACCTTACAGTTTTCCCATGCCGTTATAACTTGGGATACCCTATGAGAAAATGCACTCATTTTTCCTAGTACTATAGTAGCCTAACAATCGCAAACACTATGGAAGTGCGCCGCCGTATTTTGCGGATCGCTTCCTCTTGTTTCCTGTAGAAGATTTCAGCTCCTGAATCTCACAAGCATAGACATAGCTATAATAGGGTGGTATGGGAGACTTCCATGCCAGGGCTTCAAATCTCCCAGGAAGCTTTGCGTCTCCATAAGTCACATCGTGCAAAGTGATCTTGGGAACCTGATGATGATCCTGCTGTGAAGAGTGCCGATGATACTGATGGTAAGCAACCACCTGCTCAAACCTCCTGTTTATCCTCCCGAAATATACTGGTTTGTTCTGGTTCAGCAGGTCGTATGGGTGCTCACCAAACTTGGACACATGTCTCTGGAACTGCGACCTCATGAACGTCGCAACCTTCCTCCAGAATTGGACGCTGAAGCTGTCCCTCAGCATGCGGGCGGATACGTTGGCGATGATCATGCTCCCGTTCAACGTCGCTGCAATCTCCATTGCCAGGTTGGTGAGCTGCCTTGGGTGTGACATGGGGTCTGCGCTCCCGAACGCGAGCGTCCTGAAGAAATACCAGTAGGCCTCATGCGACAGGGGCTTCAGATTTAGAGCCTGTGTTGTTCCAAGCTTTGCGATCTTGTCAGAACGGCTTGTAAGTATGATCTTGCTACCTCTGGGCATCCAATGTTTAGATGCAGAGTACAGCCTGTTCCACACATCTTCGTCCAGATCCCCACCTACCTCCACAACAAGAAGCAATCTCCTTGTCGCCCCATCTTTGTTGGAAGAATAATGTGACGTGCCGCAATCTTGCTGTCTCATTGCACATAATCCTTCTCTGAAAGCTGCTAGCCCATCATATTGAAAGTCATGGTCGCTCAAGAACACGGTTTCTGAGAAATGACCACGGACTCTTTCATCCTTGCAGACATGGGCCACTAGCGTGCTCATGCCGACCCTGAAGGAACCGACGATCGGCAGCACCGCTGGTTCTTCGGCACCAGAATGTTGTGCATACAACAGGAAGTCGATGACAAGCTGTGCTTCAATCTGGCGACCAAACATGCAGTTGCCCAGCAGGAGATACATGCTGTAAGGCTGGCGGTCAATGCCACGACTGTTGTCGTTCGCCAAGAACAGGACTAGCTCATGGGCATCGACGATCATGGCGCTCAGACGGTCAAGCACCTCCTGCATTTCTTCTGAAATCTCTCTACTGGTTGCTGCACTGGGAAAACAGAGATCTTTTACAGAATCTACTTTGGAGAAAACAGAAGAAGCCACAGGCCGGCGACGATTCACGATTGTTGTGTTCTGCCCTCTGTAATCGTGTCACATTGTGTATCCATATTTAGTGCATAGTTTAGTTTGCTGAACATTCAACCATGTTTGTAATTTGCGTAGATTCTTGGGTGCCACGGTGATTGCACACGTGGGCACGCCGAGACCGCGTCGTAAGGGCCGTTCCCGTCATGGTGAGCATGCCGTGCATGTCGCATGGATACCGCAAGATAAGGTATACCATGTAGCTGCTAACCGTGGCGGGGAAACCGGATCGTAGGCCTTGATAAGATCAATTGAATGCATCAAAGAAAGCTGCGCATCGCAGTGGAAAGAAACAGTCTTCTCTGTGTTCTTGTTCCGAGCTCTCACACACAAAGTTCCTGGTGACCGCGCTCCGGGCATCGCCGGAGCCGGCGAGATCCTAGGTCCGGCGAGCCGCCGGCCCTAACAACGATGATCCGTCCATTGCTGGATGACGCCTCCTCTTGGTGAAGACAACTCGTTTGGCATCTGAAGGTGTCGAGGGCATAGTGGCCTCGGTGCACGGCGTCAACCAGCGCGTCCAGCTGCTGGAGCATGGCTCGGTTCGTGATTTGCCGCCGCCCCATGGCCTCGTCGACGATGACCTGCGCCCGGAGCAGGACGCTCTGGAGGCGATCCTCCGGTGCTGGAGGCTTGGGACGCCTGCTGACGAAGAAATCTATGGATCTTGTGGCTAGGTCGCCTAGTATCGCAGAAAGGAAAATCTCCAGTAGCGACACCATCCTTCTGAATTTTCTGTGTGTGCTATATGTGTTTCTAGCAAGAACTCCAAAAGGAGGACTAAAGGAGAGTATGAACCTATGAATATATATGATAGCAACTTGCTGAACTCAAGGAGAGCATGCACATGCATATAGGAACAGCTAATAAGCTGACACTGGCGGTAGTGTGTCTTTCACGTTGTATGACCTTTGCATTGTATGGGTGTTGGACGAGTCTTTCACGTTGTACTTTTACTGTTTGTGTTATGCTCCATTGATTTCCATGTGATCTCTTCTTTCTCACCCGACATGGGAACGTGTGCATTACTCCCTAATTAAATACTGGAAAAAATATGTAATGGTTTTCTAGATGGCGACGACGACACTGCGTCAGCATCGGGTGATGTATGCTGCAAGTCCAGTGTACCGGCGGGGCTTGCTTTGCTTCCATGGCGAGGTGCGTGCATGCAACACTCCTGAATTCCGAACAGGGTTTGGGAGAATGAAAGAATTCCTAATCTGATGGTAAAATTTTCTGTGGCCCACTCTGTACCAGATTACCTTAACATATGCCCAAAATCTTTCAGATTAATAGTTGGAACTTTTTTCACATCTTTTCATAAATATATAGACATGACTTCTAGGTCGTTGCACATGTACTCAAACTTATTATATGTGTGTACAAAAGGGTAGGAATTAAGTTTTCTCTAACACCCTTAATGTGTGTTAGTTAAGCTTTGCACTGTAAATAGATAGGACTGCATGTTTTCCTTTCAGTTCTGCATGCGCACGAGCACTGATTTGTGGTCGCTGTGCACATAGGAGGTAGTGGCAACGAGAATAGCTCGCGACGCATTACTGGGTGATTGGTTCTGGATGAACATCGCGGACGTGGGGATGGACGCGTCGTGAGTGCGGTGTGCGGCCAGCCACCAAGAGCTTTGCTCTTTGTATTGCACAATAAAAATGAAAGCGAAGATCAGAAAACGCGCTGCGGTTTTGGGCAGCACCAAATGCTCTGTGTGTACTCGTGTTCATCGCGTTCCAAGTGTTCGTGTGTGCGCGTGAGTTGTTCTCTGTTCTGTTCTCGGCTTGTTCCAGTGTTCGCGGCGGCGTTCATCATTTGTGCGGGCGACAATTGGCATCGGAGCTAGGGTGATCGGGATTCGCGTGGCCATGGTTTCACCACCGCGACCCGAGGCCGTACCCGCCGGGCACCGAGAAGGAGAGGGCAGCGGCTCCGGCAACAAGACGCCGACACGCACGCCTCTCCGAGCCGTTCTCCACGACGCCGATCACGCGCGACGCGCAGCGTCATCGCGCTCCGGGATGCACGCCGTCCGCGGGAGGTGGCGATCAGCGCATCATCCGGGAGGGCAGCAGCTCGCAAGCGCCGCGGTGACAAGGACGAACTTCTAACGAGTGGTCACTCCGCATGAAGCTGAAGATGCGGTAGCGTCACCTACGAGATGCTGTCGTGTACAATGATGTTGATTTCGACGACGACCGCAACGCGCTGGATGTGATCTGCAGCACCGTCCCGGCGGAGATGGTGCCCGCGCTTGTGACCAAGGCAATCGCCAAGGAAGCCTGGGAGGCCATCAAGATGCTCCGCATCGGCGACGATCGCGTGCGAAAGACGATGGCGCGAAACCTGCGCGCGACGGAGAAGCGATCGAGGACTTCGCGCTCCGCCTGACGGGCATTGTCCAGCGGTTGGCATCACTGGGCGATCCCGAGCCGGACACCAAGGTCATGGCGAAGTACCTGCGCGTCGTCCGTCCCAGGTATAAGCAACTTGTCATCTCCATCGAGACCCTGCTCGACATCTCGCAGCTCTCGATCGAGGAGGTCATCGGTAGGCTGAAGGCGGCGGACGACGTCGAACCCGCGCCGCCCCAAGCTGCTGGTGGCAAGCTGCTCCTCACGGAGGAGCAATGGCCGAAGAGGTACAAGAAGCAAGACTCCGGTCGCGGAAGCTCGAGCTCCGGTGGCTGGGGCAAGCGCCGTGGGAAGCCGCGTGGTCACAGCGGCAACAACTCCGATGGGCGTGGCGGACCGAGCTCAGGTCGCGCCGGCCCAGACGATGTGTGCAAGCGATGTGGCAAGAAAGGCCACTGGGCCCAGCACTGCCGCGGCAAGCTCAAGACGGAGGAACAGGCCCATGTGGCCCAAGATGATGAGCCCACACTCATGTTCGCCTACGGAGCCGTGAGCGAGGGCGAGTCGCCCACTTTGCCTCTTCCTCCCCAAGTGCCGCTGCCGCTCCCCAACACTCCACTGCGCAACATCGTCGCCCACAACACCGATGCCGCCCGACACCGCACCAGGTCGAGCTCATGGAGGCAAAGGTGTTCGGCGCCTTCGACTCGATGGAGGACCGGGACCCGAAGCGCTGGGTCCTGGACACCGGGGCTACAAACCACATGACCGGATCTCGCGGCGCCTTCTCCGACCTCGACACCGGCATCGTCGGCACGGTCCGCTTCGGTGATGGCTCTATCGTCAAGATCGAGGGCCGCGGCATCATCCTCTTCGCCTGCAAGAACAGGGAGCACCGCACCCTTGCCAACGCCTACTTCATCCCCTGCCTCACCACGAACATCATAAGTGTCGGCCAGCTTGACGAGGTGGGGTTCCAGGTGCTCGACGAGGGAGGAGTGATGCAGATCCGCGACGAGGAGCGCCGCATGCTTGCCAAAATTCACCGGAGCCCAAGCCATCTCGTGCGTTTCGACATCGACATCGCGGCGGCGGTAAAGCCATGGGCGCACACCATGGAGGACGCGTGGCTCTAGCACACACCGCCGGGCATGTCAACGGTGCACACTCAGGAAGATGGGGCGTGAGGAGCTGGTCAGAGGCATGCACCTGTTGGACCACGTCGACCAAGTCTACGACGCCTGCCACGCCGGCAAGCACCGGTGGACACCGTTCCCGCAGGCAGCAGCGCTCGCGTTCAACCGAGGTGTTACAATACTTGCGCATGGGGACCTCTGCGGACCCATCACGCCACCAACGCCTAGCAAAGCAACCGCTTCTTCCACCTTCTCATCGGCGACTACTCGAGGTACATGTGGATCGCGCTGCCGCTTTTCCAAGAATGCCGCGCCGTGGCGTTCAAGCGCATTCAGGCGGCGGCGGAGCGCAAGACGGGGAAGCTGGTTCGTGCACTCTGCACGGACCGAGGAGGAGAGTTCCTGGCATGGGACTTCGAGGAGTACTGCGCCGAGCTAGGTCTGCGTCGCGAGCTCACGGCGCCGTATTCCCCTCTGCATAATGGCGTCGTTGAGCGGCGCAATCAGACCGTGGTGAGCACCGCCCGGAGTATGCTGAAGGCGAAGAACCTCCCTGACGTGTTCTGGGGAGAGGCAGTCACCACACTGTCTATCTGCTCAACCGCGCGTCATCCAAGAGCATCGGCGGCAAGACCCCGTACTAGCTGTGGACTGGCAGCGCCCCTGGCGTCCATCATCTGCGCACCTTCGGCTGCATCGCCCACATGAAGATCATGGCACCGAATCAGAAGCAGCTCGATGACCACAGCAAACGTACCATCTTCATTGGGTACGAGGCTGGGTCCAAGGCGTACCGCATCTTTCATCCAAGGACACGGTGTGTGCACATCAGCCGCGACGTTGTGTTCGTTGGCGAAGTGAGTGGAGCTGGAGCGAGGAGCTCGACGGTGCCGAGCCGGATCTATTGGAGTCCGGTGGCAGGAGCCACCGGGCACCGTGATCTCTACTACCACCACGATGACGACCTCCTTGGGCTCCACCTCGATGTCGCCCGTGCCATCGACTTCCCTAGCAACGCATGACGCCGGAAAGACCTTGCCCACCACTCCAGTACACGCTGCAGGAGGAGCGGTGGAGTTTGCGTCACCACCGGAAGGCGAGGCGGACCTGGATCTTGACCATGATGATTATGCACGCGCTCGGTTCCGTAGGGTGGACAATGTGATCTTTGGGCTCTACATCAACACCTGGCTTAGCACAGTGGGAGCTGGAGGAGCACCTGCTCCTAGCCGGTGACGTCGAGCCGTCCAGCTTTGTCGGCGCGAAGCATGAGTGCTGACGCCACGCCATGCTCGATGAGATGACGGCGATCGAGGCAAACAGTACATGGGAGCTCGTCGACCCTCTGCCACGTTCCCGACCCATTGGGCTCAAATGGGTCTACAAGGCGAAGAAAGACGCAACCGGGATCATCTCCAAGTACAAAGCCCCGCTTGTCGCGAAAGGCTATGTCCAGCGGCAAGGCGTCGACTTCGACGTGGTGTTCGTACCAGTGGCGCATCTGCAATCTGTGCGCCTTCTCCTTGTGCACGCCGCGTACGAGGGCTGGGCCGTCGACCACATGGACGTGAAGTCAGCTTTTCTCAATGGTGAGTTGCAGGAGGAGGTCTACGTGGAGCAGCCGCCGGGCTTCGTCCTCAAGAGGCAAGAGGGCAAAGTCTTTGCGCCTCGTCAAAGCTTATGACGGGCTCCGTCAAGCTCCCAGCGCTACGGGTGCGGGTGGACAGCTCGCTTCTCGAGCTCGGCTTCCGCAAGACTGATGACTCGAGCACGTTGTGTACCTTTGCGGCGAGGGCGCACGCCGCCTCGTCATGGGAGTCTACATCGACAACCTCGTGATCACAGGGAGTAGCACCTGCGACATCAACGAGTTCAAGTCGCAGATGAAGGCGACGTTCCGGATGAGCGATCTGGGGCTGCTGCACTACTACCTTGGCCTGGAGGTGACTCAGTCCACGGACGGCATCACCTTGGGCTAGAGCGCGTACGCGGCGAAGATCCTCCAGAACGCCGGGCTGGCTGTGTGCAACCCCAGCTACATCCCCATGGAGCCACGCCTCAAGCTGAGCAAGCAGAGCACCACACCCGCCGACGGCGCCACTGCATCTGAAGCATCGTCGGCTCATTGCGGTATATCCGGTGAACACTAGGCAGACTTGCCCTATTCGGTGGGCTATGTGAGCCGGTTCATGGAGATCCCAACCACTGAGCACCTGGCAGCTGTGAAGAGAGTGCTGCGGTACATTACCGGCACTCTGGACTACGAATGCTACTACACAAGGAAGGAGGAGGATGCTCATCTCATGGGCTTCAGCGACAGTGACCATGCTGGAGACATCGACAACCGCAGAAGCACCACCGGCGTCCTCTACTTCCTCAACAAAAACGTCATCACCTGGCAGAGCCAAAAGCAGAAGGTCGTGGCGCTATCCTCATGCGAGGTTGAGTACATCGCAGGGACTACTGCTGAAAGGTCCTTGTTGGTTTTGGTAATTGAGTGACAACCTAGGTGGACTAATTGTGTTTATGTGAGATACACAGGTGATTAGTCCACAGGTACATGTGTATGAGCAACATATGCCATGGAGGTGAAAATGGCTTAGAAATGTTGCAAAGCTCACACATGTGATGATGAAGGAGCTTATTGCACATGAGACATGACATTGAGTCATGTGATCAAGGTGGAGAAGATCAAGACAAGACTTGGCTTGATGGACCGGTTGCAAGCGTGAAGGGCAAGTCGAAGGCTTTGGAGTGATGGACCGCGTGGCGGTGAAGCTTGAGCAAGACTTGGCGCCGATGGACGATGGCAACGGTGAAGGGCAAGTGAAGTCAAGATCGATGAACCAATATGATTACGTGATGATATGAAGTGGATCATATCATTGTTGATCGTGTTGGTGCATGTGTTGCATCAACATTGGAGGAGATGGAATGGAATGCGCAAGGCAAAGGTATAACCTAGGGCATTTCATTTCACCGGTCATAGGTGTGTAGAGAAGTTTATGACCGGGTTTAGGATAGATGGCCGTACTATCAAGAGGGGCAAACTTGTTTGCATATCGGTCATCTAGTGCCACTCGAGTGATCTAACTTTGCATTGTCGCTAGGATCGAGTGGCGTGGCAAGTTGAGTGGCTAACATCCTTTGGGAAATGATTGTGAAAATGCTAACACACATACACATGGTGGTGTACACTTGGTGGTGTTGGCACATTTACAAAGGAGGTGGTGTTTTCAGGGGTGAGATGGGTTTGGGTCCTCTCTCCCTCCCGCCGAGCTTGCGAGGCGGGATTCGGCGCTTTCGGAAAATAGAATGCCTATTTTCTATTGCGCCGGATGCAAGTTCTTGTGGTTAGCACATTGGAGCAAGGGTGATGAAGTTAGAAGTGAAAACGAGTTAGTCGCGAAGATCTTTGGCGTCGGTCAACCGACCGGAATATTTGAATCTCTGAATCTGCCGGACGCATTTGGCGCGGCTGCGTCCGTGGCTGACGTCACGATGACGATAAGCCGGAGAGTGACCGGACGCTGGTGCTGCGTCCGATCGCGTTCGACCGGACGCGTCCGGTCATGCTCGGAGCTTATTGAAGCGGCCGGACGCCGAGGTCCAGCGTCCGGTCGATTGAAGCCGCCGCGTCCGGTCAAGTCAAGTGACCGTTGGAACCGGGGACACGTGGCCGTCTGCAGGCGACCGGTCAACACGACCGAGGCGTCGGTCGGCCCGACCGTTACTTGATGAAGGGGTAACGGCTAGTTTAGCTCTTGGGGCTATAAATAGAAGTGGCCCTCGGCCATGGCTGGTCTTGAGCACCTCAAGGGACTTAGTGTCCATGCTTGTGAGTGCTTGGGAGCCCTCCATCACACATATACTTGATAGTGATCATTCGATTGTGTGAGTGAGCGATTCTAGTGCGATTGCATCGTGAGGTTGCATCGAGTGGCACTAGGTGGTCGTGTTGCAAGCCGGTGGTGCTTGTTACTCTTGGAGGTTGCCACCTCCTAGGCGGCTTAGTGGTGGTCTCCGTCGAAGCCCGCAAGAAGCTTGTGCGGCGCTCGGAGAAGTGCTTGTGAGGGGCATTGTGCTCGCCCATGGAAGGAGTCGCATGAAGAGCAACTTTAGTAAAGCGTGTCATTGAGCTACCCTCACTCAAGGGGTAGGTTCTTGCGGTGCCCGACGTGCGGGCTTAGCGGGTGATGCTAATTAGCCGCCGAACCACCAAGTGGTGGTCGACACAATGGGGACTAGCGTGTTGGCAAACACGTGAACCTCGGGAGAAAAATCATCGTGTCAACCTTGTTCTTCCCGTTGGTTTGCATCCCCATTACACAAGCTTGCAATTACTTATATATATATCTTAAGCTTGTGTAGTTGCTCTTGTAATTAGATAGCTTGTGTAGCTAGCTAATTACCTTCTTGCTTGTGTAGCATAGAAGTAGCTCCTCATGCGTGGCTAATTTGGTTTTAGTAACCTTGTTAGTCACATTGCTTAGTTTGTGTAGCTAAGTATTTGCGCTCTCTAATTAGGCATTGGTTGCCTTGTTATTGAGCATTGCTAGTGAGCTTAGTTAGCTTTGTGCTTTTGCTTACTAGCATGTGTAGGAGCTCCCCTTGTTACTTAAAGTACTAGTGGCATAGGTTTGTGTGACCTTGCTCCTAGAATTGTTTAGGAGAGCTCTAGCTAGCCCGGCACCTTTGTTGCTTTATTAGTATCTTTGCAAGGTGCTAGTGAACATATATAGAGGGGTGTAGTCTTGGCTAGACCGATTGTTTTAATTCCGCATTTATATCGGTTAGCCGACGCGATTAATTTTAGAAAAGACTATTCACCCCCCCTCTAGTCCGCCATCTCGACCCTTCAACTGCTACCTGCCAGGGTGTGTGGCTGACGCGCCTCCTGTCTGAGCTGAAGGGCAAGAGGGTAAGAACCCTGTCTTTCATGATCGCAGCAAGCATATAGATACAAGATACCACTACATTCGCGAGTGCATCGAGGAAGGCAGGGTATGTGTCGCCTCCATTGGCACAATTGAGCAGCTGGCGGACATCATGACAAAGGCGCTGGCACGGGAACGCTTCTGTGAACTGCGTGCCAAGCTTAGCCTCGTCAAACTCAAGCAGAAGTGCAACGCTTAGGAGGAGATTTGTTAGTTAAGCGTTGCACTGTAAATAGATAGGACTGCATGTTTTCCTTTCAGTTCTGCATGCGCACGAGCACTGATTTGTGGTCGCTGTGCACATATGAGGTAGTGGCAGCGAGAATAGCTCACGCACGTACCTGGGCGATTGGTTCTGGACGAACATCGCGGACGTGGGGATGGACGCGTCGTGAGCGTGGTGTGCGGCCAGACACCAAGAGCTTTGCTCTTTGTATTGCACAATAAAAAGGAGAAACGAAGATCAGAAAACGCTGCGGTTTTTGGGCAGCACCAAAAGCTCCGTGTGTACTCGTGTTCATCGTGTTCCAAGTGTTCGTGTGTGTGCGTGAGTTGTTCTCTGTTCTTCGGCGTGTTCCAGTGTTCGCCGGCGGCTTTCATCGCTGCGCCGGGCCTGACAATGTGTAGTACTGTAGTTTAGCGATCATGTGTATTTCAGCAAACAATATGTTAATGCAGTGGATACAAATTGATTTGTCAGATTCTACACAATACAGGAGATAATGTCGCATTCTTTTTTTAATGAGGCATATCGTAGAGTATTACCAACCCTGTAGCCAAGTGATAGATCTTGAAATTTTGATAGTTGAGATCATGGATTTGGGATTATATAGAAATAACTATATCACTTTTTGAACTATATTCCTTTTTCTTAGGAAAGATCATGCTGATTTTATGCTTTATGCCTTTCTGCTGCAATAGTCTCTTGAAATTGAATAGAATTTACATAGTTTCAAATTAATCCCAAAGTATATTATTAACTTAGGGAGAAGGTGTAGACCATCAATCGTGGTGAATTTTTAGGTGAAAAAATAATCATCGAAATCAGAGTTGAGATGGAGGGATGAACGTAGAACCCCCAAAGGTTATCCCGAAGATTTAGTTCCGGAAAATACAAAGAGCAAGAACATTCCTTAGAATTTCTGAAAATTGATTGATATTATTTGCCTGAACTGTGAAGTGTCCACAGTAGATGACAAGTGGGTCCAGGGCATTCGGCAATGTCAAGGTGGCTGGGCTTCTGGAACAAAAAAAAGAGAGAATGTCGGCCTTTCATATATACATATATATGGACCAAGACCATATCCTCCTTAGGTTGCCCTTGGGCTTGGGCCGAAACTAGACCTATTAAGGCACAGCTCTGTTTAGTCGAGGACCCATGTGACCTTGCTAATGGAGCCCGAAAGCTAAAGTAACGCCAGAACAGTGGGCTCTGCCCCGTTTCCTGGATGAAAACAGTGCAACTTTTGAAAACCCAGATTCTGAGGATGCTCTCTGGACTAAAAACACTGGTAACCACTTCATCACTGGATGATATGAACTGCTAATGGTCACTTACAATTTACTTATGGAATGAGTAGTAAGTAATACACTCTGGTATATATGTATGCCTTGTAAACATTCTACATACCTTACAGTTTGCCCATGCCAATAACTTGGGATACCTATGAAAACATGCACTCATTTTATACTCCTATATATGATAGCCTAACAATCACAAACATATCGAAGGTGCGCTTCCGTTTTTCGCGGAGCGCTTCCTCTTGTTGCCTATAGATTTCAGCTCCTGAATCTCACAATCATAGATATAGCTATAGTAAGGTGGTATCTGAGAAATCCATGACAGGACTTGGAATCTCCCAGCAGGAAGCTTTGCATCTCCATTAATCACTTCGTGCCAGGTGATCTTGGGAACCTCCTTCTGTGAAGAGTGCCGGTACTGATGGTAGCAAATCATCTGTTCAGACCTCATCCTCTCGAAATACACGGGTTTGTTCTGGCTTATAAGGTCGTATGGGTGCTCACCAAACTTGGACGCATGTCTCTGGAACTGCGACCTCATGAACGTCGCAACCTTCCTCCAGAATTGGACGCTGAAGCTGTCCCTCAGCATGCGGGCGGATACGTTGGCGATGATCATGCCCCCGTTCAACGTCGCTGCAATCTCCATTGCCAGGTTGGTGAGCTGCCTTGGGTGTGACATGGGGTCTGCGCTCCCGAACGCGAGCGTCCTGAAGAAATACCAGTAGGCCTCATGCGACAGGGGCTTCAGATTTAGAGCCTGTGTTGTTCCAAGCTTTGCGATCTTGTCAGAACGGCTTGTAAGTATGATCTTGCTACCTCTGGGCATCCAATGTTTAGATGCAGAGTACAGCCTGTTCCACACATCTTCGTCCAGATCCCCACCTACCTCCACAACAAGAAGCAATCTCCTTGTCGCCCCATCTTTGTTGGAAGAATAATCTGACGTGCCGCAATCTTGCTGTCTCATTGCACATAATCCTTCTCTGAAAGCTGCTAGCCCATCATATAGAAAGTCATGGTCGCTCAAGAACACGGTTTCTGAGAAATGACCACGGACTCTTTCATCCTTGCAGACATGGGCGACTAGCGTGCTCTTGCCGACCCTGAAGGGACCGACGATCGGCAGCACCGCTGGTTCTTCGGCACCAGAATGTTGTGCATACAACAGGAAGTCGATGACAATCTGTGCTTCAATCTGGCGACCAAACATGCAGTTGCCCAGCAGGAGATACATGCTGTAAGGCTGGCGGTACATGGGGCGACCGTAGTTCGCCAAGAACAGGACTAGTTCATGTGCATCAACGATCATGGCGCTCAAAGTGTCAAGCACCTCCTGCATTTCTTTTGAGATCTGTACAGCTCTGCTTGTCCAACTGGAGAGACATGGATCGACTCTGGAGAAATGGGAAGAAAGCCGGTGACTCACGATCGTCGTCTGACCATTGCTGCTGGGCCTGGGCTCCTCTTTTTCAGCCTGCTGAAAGGATCTGAAGGTGTCGAGGGCGTAGTAGCCTCGGTGCACGGTGTCTGTCAGGGCGTCCAGCTGCCGGAGCATGGCCTGGTTTGTGATCCGCCGCCCCATGGCCTCGTCGACGATGACCAGCGCCCGGAGCAGGACCCTGCGGAGGCGATCCTCCACGTCGTCCAGCGCAGGAGCCTTATTGGGGCGCTTGCTCGCCAGGAAATCTATGCATCTAGTGGTTAGGTCGCCTAAGATTGCAGACAGGAAAATCTCCATTAGCGACACCATCGTAGCTTGATCTGGATTTGTGTATTTGTGCTAGCAAGCTCTATGTATGTATGCGTTTCTTTCTTGTAAGAACTCCAATGCATACTCAAGGACGGCACAGGCATATGTATAATAAGAACACTAAGCTAGCTGACAGTGTCGATCGGTATTGACTAGTCCACTTATATGCGTGTCTGACCTTAGCGTTGGGTAGGTGTTGGACGAGTCTTGCACGCCAGCGCTGTACAATTCAAAAGTTGGGTATTTCTCCTCCCAACTTATCCACGCTTTCATGGTGAGATGACATGTTCCAGGAAGGGTCTTAGGCGATTGACCAAACATTTGGAAATTACCTTGTATATATATATCACATTACATAGATTGATGGGTGTAAAGCATTTGGTGCTTATTTTTGCTTATTTTCGTCCCATGGCCTCCTCGTTGATGACCTTTGCTCGGAGAAGAGCCCTTTGTAGGCTTTTCCTCCATGTTCAGTGTCAGCGGCTTCGACCATTTGTTACTGATGAAATTTATGGATCGAGATATCAGCTCACCCAGGACTGCAGAAAGGAAAGTTTCCATGTGAGTTCTCTCTTTCTCCTCAGGAAGAGAACACAATAGGATGAGTTTTGATGTTTTGGAAACTCTGTATTCTATGCTTCATATCAAAGCTCCAAGGAGAGAAAGGTCGTTGGGCTCAAGAAGCAAAGGAATATAAGAACAACTAAATTGAGAGTCAATAGTCCATTCACATGTATGACTTTTGGGACTGCTTTCGTCTTCACCTGGTTACTCTGACTGACTTTTTATTTTTGTTTGAACTTGCTACCAGTTGGGATACTTCCAGAGAATCCGTACAGCCCTTGACTGTTGAATTCCAACCCTTCGCTAAGTGAACCACCGAGACATCACCATTCATGATCTGTGTAATTAATATGTAGACCCACCTATCTTTACTATAAGGAACCAATCAAAACTATACTGGGTCTCCAAAAAAAAAAGTCCCCCGCTGAGAGACTACAACCATTGTGCACTAACAAAATTGTACCCAGGATTACCGTATCATTAAAATCTATGGCTCATAATCCTTTCTCACAGGCTTCAACTTGATTCGATGGCCAATGTTATTTGGATCTCCCCCACCTAGGCTTCAACGCACGCCTCACACAATGGAAACCAATGGAAGTCAATCAAGGCAAATATAGAAGTCAGTCAAGGCAAATAGGAAGGAGGGATCCATGACTCCGATCAAGGCAATTTTCAGCACATCCCGCAGTCTACGGTAGAATGGAAACCAATAGAAGTCAATCAAGGCAAATATGGAAGTCAGTCAAGGCAAATAGGAAGGAGGGATCCGTGACTCCGATCAAGGCAATTTCCAGAATCTCTACTATAAGGGACCAATCAAAACTATACTAGGTCTCCTAAAAAAAGTCCCCCGCTGAGAGACTTCAACCATTGTGCACCAATGAAATTATACCCAGGATTATCGTATCATTAAAATCTATGGCTCCAAATCATTTCTCATAGGCTTTAACTTGATCCGATGGACAACATTATTTGGGTCTCCCCCACCCAGGCTTCAACGCACGCCTCACACATCCCGCAGTCTACGGTAAAATGGAAACCAATGAAAGTCAATCAAGGCAAATATGGAAGTCAGTCAAGGCAAATAGGAAGGAGGGATCCGTGACTCCGATCAAGGCAATATCCAGCACATCCCGCAGTCTACGGTAAAATGAAAACCAATGGAAGTCAATCAAGGCAAATATGGAAGTCAGTCAAGGCAAATAGGAAGGAGGAATCCGTGACTCCGATCAAGACAATTTTCAGAATTGTCATTATAATGGAAGAGCCCGGCCCCATCTGACGCGCCCCTTCCAAAACTCTCCGTGCCGTTCTGGTATTGCGTCAATAAGGAATGGCGACAGACCTGCCAACATACCCACTCGCATGTTTCCGTCAAGAACACGTGGGACCTGGTTTGGTGACCCCACGTGTCAGTAGGAGCAGTGGAGCGTCTGCAGCGTGGCTAAACCTGGAAAGGTCTACCCCTTTCTTCTCATAAAATACCAACGGCGGATAAGGAAGCAAAACAGATCACTTACAGTCCAGGCCCACAGAGAGGAGATCGATGAAGAGGTTTAGCACATTTGGTTTTGCCTATTTTTTTTTAAAAAAAATAGAAGAAATATCCGATTTTATCGAGGAGTTAGACCACTGTGTTACAAAAGTAACACACTACACGCCCCCGATCGAGTTTACAAAATAAATGAACTGACTTGACACGTGATTATGAAAATAAAAGGCCATTATGAAATAGAACACGCAAGCTAGAGACAATTAGTTTTGTTCTAATTTTTAGATATATAGCTTTTGCTATGCACCTAAATGTACATTATGTCTATATATATAGTAAAAATTTCTTCCTCCATTTCAAATTATAAGTCGCTTTAATATTTTTGGTACATCTAATTTGTTATGCATTTAGATATAATAATATATCTAGATACATAGCAAAATGAATGAACCAAAAAAGTCAAAGCGACTTATAATTTGGAATGGAGGGAGTATGTATCTAGAAAAGCTAGAACGATTTACAATATAAAACAGATGGAGTACTTAAAACTTACTTGATAAATCAGTTGATTATGGCAAGAAGAAATGTTTTTTTTTCTTTTGTCCAATAATTTTCATTAGTTAGCTTTCTAATACCCGAAAATCATCTGAAGAAAGAAAAACAGGATGGGAGAGAGGGAGAAACCGAGGAACAACCAGATAAATATCCATCGCGGTTGTGCACATATATTTACGACTATATCTACTATTTAATTTTAAAAAAGATCAAATACAATTTTTTCTTTCATTTATCAAAAGTGAATTATAGAGTTACTTTAAGAAGCTATATCTACTTTAAGAAGCTTGGTACGGTATCTTTGATTATTTGGGATGAAGTTTGCATGAAGTGGCCATGAAGATCTCCAAGACATGTTTAAGGACTTAGGCAGATTGTAAATTATATGGTTAATACGAGAAATAACTTTATTATGCCTTGTTACGTGTAAGTGTTTCTCGGATTGTATATACATGGTCATATACAATTGTGTGAAAGTTGAACTCTGGAAACAAAAATCGTTGTTTGGTTGTTTCCATGTACATCTCTGAAATAAAGCCGTAGCGTTAGCACGGGCACTAGTGATATCAAGGTCACAAAAATCAGATTGTTAGCTTAGCAACTGATTTATATTAAGCAGTGTCCTCAGTTGCAGTTTTTAGCCAACTGGCTGAACAGGAGTTGCCTCCAGGCCAGACTTTGCACTATAAATTCCCAATGAAGGAATTAATCCCCTTGTGTTGGCTAAATCATTAACAGTAACAACTTAAATGTTATTTCAAAAGCTCGTGTAGATAACACATTTTTTTATTCCTTCTGGGTAGGTACTTTTTCTCAGCATATAACTTGTCCTCAAAGCTTGTTAACTGATTTTTTACTTAGCATATTGCAGTAGATACCTTTAAGTTGGTGTGATTTGAGCACTATGACTATGGTAAGAGAAGACAATGAGATTAGAATCTCAGAGGAGCAAGTACATAAATTCTGGTTGCAGTCATTCAAGTGTACACAAGAAAACAGAGCAAGCAATATACCAGATCAAACTGCTGCACAGTTACAGTACAGGTCCTTGACAGATCTGTGTGCCTATGCAACCATGTGATGTGAAATTTTTTTATTACAACTAACTCCAGTCAATTTCCAACTTTTTGTCTTTGGGGCCAGAGATCGGTGGGATGCCAAATCTTCTTGATCCAACGAGACTCTGCTTGCCTTGCCAGAGGGCTCTGATAAGTAGTTCCATCTCCATAAGGCAGGGAGGGAGTCATGCAAACCACCAAACATGACTGTGAGGCTCTGTTGCAGAATGGCCTGCTGGGTTGAACTGAAAAGATAAAGCCGAAAACGCAGGCTTCATGCCCAGGCTCATACGTCTGGCTCTGGAGTAAAACCAACAACAGGGAAGGATTCACCATAATCCATGAAAATATATATGCCTCTGGCTCATGCGTCATTATGTACTATGTAGATATAAGCAGTATCACTTAAGATATGAAACAGGCTTACACATCAGAATTAACTCTGCATAAACCAGAAAATGACAAAATTAACAGAATCTGGCTCCATCTTTCATGCAATGCTTCCTCTTCGCACCTGTAATTTGGACCTCAAATTTTCCATGTCTCTCGATGCTTCCATACAGAACATCTTGGATTCTTATCTCGGCAACCCCCACTTGGGAAGACTGGTGATACTACTGATGACAACTCATTAGACTTTTCCCTGTGTGCCATTATAAAAGATCGTAATCCCCTCTGTGCCTCTGGAAAAATTCAGCGGTCTTCAGCACCACTACTTCAACTTTTTCGGGTCCTCCATGCCACTTCCGTTAATTCAGGCTCTAACGCCGTCAAACTACAGGTGTGAAAAGACGAAAATGCCCTTAAGTTCAAATATGTTATTAATTTTTTTTAGTATCTTAACGACTTCAAATGAAAAAACTCAAAACTAGATTTTTGTAAGATCTATTAATCGAGATCTATAATTTTCATATAAAAATTATTTTCATTAATTTTCATAAAAAAAATATGATGATTTTTCTAAGATATATTAATCATATCAAATCATTTTTTTTTTGAATTAAGATGCTCAAAAAAATTAATAACATATTTGAACTTAAGGGCATTTTCGCCTTTTCACACCTCATTTTGAAAAATTAGAATATTGAAACGAACGATTGGAAGTGGCATGTAGGACCCGAAAAAGTTGAAGTAGTGGCGTTGAAGACTGCTGAATTTTTTTAGGGATACACAGGGGATTGCGATCTTTTATAATGACACACAGGGAAAAGTCTCTTAAATCTTCAGAAGGCGCAGCCATTCTTCCAAGCCGTACAGGTTTATTTTAATTAAGAAGACCAGACGGATGCAGCCCAAATTTGGTGATATGCTTCTGTATGAACCGTACA